GTCACCCGTCGACGACGGGGACATGGCGTGCTGCGTCTGGAGACGAAGAAGCTTGGTGGAAGACGTGGTGGGCAGATGGTGGTGCGCCGCGATAGCGCAGCTCAGGCGGGGGTGGATGGATGAGTGAAGCGGCGACTTGGGGGGGGCTTGGTGGCTAAATAGTTGCGATGCACTGGCGGTTTGCGAGGCTGCAATCGACAAAGACCGGACCGATGCGATTAGGTTCGGCTGAACGGGGGGTGCGTGACTCGAGGCGAAAGGTGTCAGTCAGACCAGGCTCGAAGGTATCGCGGTGTTTCACAACTTCTTTGGAGGTGCCGTAGGAGAAGGGAGCAGACGACGGAACAGAGAAGGCGAGAAGAGACGAATGCACGGCTGTGGAGCAGTAATTATGGGAGAATCACCGAGGAGGCGGAGGAAGGGGGGGGGGGGGGGGGGGGGAAAAGGGGGGGGGGGGGGGGGGGAGGGGGAGGGGGGGGGGGGGGGGGGGGGGGGGGGGGGGGGGGGGGGGGGGGGGGGGGGGGGGGGGGGGGGGGGGGGGGGGGGGGGGGGGGGGAGGGAAAATAAAATGCGGAGGAAGCAATCCTATGGCGTTGTTGGTGTCGGATGGCCAAGGATGGGCAGCAAGTCGCTGTTGAGGGTAAAAAGAGACACTCGTCTGAGTGCCCGCAGGTGAGCAGAGGGGAGCTCTAGGCCAGCTTCATCCCCCTTTGCCCCGGACCCCGGCTTGGAGTCGTTGGAGCGAGAATCCATCGGATTGGTGCGTCGTGACAGTGACCCCATCCCGCAGCGGCAGACATCAGGCCAGGCCAGGCCAACCAGAGCCGACGGTTGCAACGGGCATGGGACGAAACGGGCATGGGATGGGATGGGATTCGGGGAGAGGATGAGATGGGGAACAAGGGTCAACGGCGCACGCTAAGCAGAGGGGCCGTCGCTTATACCTACACAGTGAGGTAGCGCGGAAGAAGCATCTTGGTGTGCTGCCGGTTTGTCCATGTTTGTCCATCGTGGGTGTTGAGAGACATGTGTTCTTTGCGTTGACAACCTCATGCCTTACCGCAGGTACATTGGGTTAATTTGATGTCGTTGGTACCAAAAGTATTGATCCGTGCCTTAATTCCGTTCCGAGTTTACGGCATTCATGGGGAAAGGGCCCTCAGTGTCGATCGGCCCTGCCAATCTGGGGGAGGGGCCACGACTACATCAATAAAGTACCTTGAGTGTTTGACCTGAGGCAAGTGCTCCCCAGGGCGGGGGAAACGGGAAAGTGCCTTCCTGCCTTCTTTGGAGTCATTGAGGGTATCTCCTTCCTCTCGTCTGCAAGTTAAGATTCTATAAGTACGGATACAAGATACCTGGCTTACTAAGGCCAGTGGGCATTTCGAACCTCCCTCGTAATTTTACACACTTCACGTTGCAACCTCGTTCCGTTATCCATGGCCACAACTCCATAACGAATGAAGCCCAATCCCGAGTCTCTCCCGTTGTCTGCCGGTGTTCTTGTGTGGCCCCAGTCTCCCCTCTCTGCCTGTACCTGCATGTCGACTCCCTTCGTCACGCTCACGGTTATTCGTACACTTTGACGAGACTTTGTCCAAGCAGGTGGCAGCATCCCTGTCAACTTCATTTCGCTCCCGCCACTCTACCAAGCTCGACTAACACCTCCAGGTTCTAGAAATCCCTCGGGCCCAATCTAGACAACACCAGCTGTGCCGCTGTCAAAAGATGGGGCTGCGAGAGATTGTCTCGCCATGTTAGCAAGACCCTGTCATGGTGCTCAACAGAGGATCCTACAACGCCAGCCAGGTCATGAGGGGTGGTGGGCGAGAACCGCCGGAACGTAGATTAACCACCACCCCTCCAACACCCAAATCGGGACGCTTCTCCAAACAAGATTGACGAGCTCCCGCCTCGCTCTCGTGCGTCCAAGGCCAGGGTTCATGAGCAGTTGATGTCGCTGAGTAGCTGGTTCTTCACGAGAGATTTACGACGGTACCCCAAAAGGAAAAAGAAATCGACTTACGAATCACTCACTTCGACCAACATTCATCACGACGGTCCGCAATCTACCTAGGCATATCTTCCCATCTCGCGAGTTCGTCCCCGGGAGAGAATCCGGGGTCGGACGGGCGAACGGCCGGCCGTTTCCCTGGCACACCACACATGGCGATGGATGCCCCACACTGTAAGTCCCTCCCGACTACCCGCTTCCGGGGTTCTAATTCGTTACCAGACTTTGACACTCTGTAGTTTTGCTGCATGTCGACCGACCAGGCCAAGAAGCAGCATTCCTCTGCCGTGTCTGTCGGAACCTTTCTTGAGTGTATACCGGTCGACAACCCCAGGATCACGGTCGTATCGAACCAGACTTTATCGATGACTCTGTTCCGTCACTCGAAATGCCAGCCGCGGACGGGTACCTTCTTTGTGGAATCTGGAGTTGAAACCGAGTATTCTACTATTAATCTTAGACTTCTGAGAGTACGACTTCAAAATCCTCAGCTTCTACAAGAAAGAACCAATCTTATTCCTTGCGTCCGCCATGAAGTAGGTCGAAAATGCACTCGCGTTGCCTCAAGTGTCGGTCTGGAGAATTCCATTCGGCTGCGCTGTTACATTGCGTCGGCACTCATCCAAGTGTGACTTTCGATGTTGTGTTATCACTCAGCTCCCGCGACTCTGGTCTTGTAAGTTGACGTGCGCATCAGAACGCGCAGCCTCACATGGACCAGGTATCTATCTTCCCGCCCGCCTTTCGGGTTCCCTTCTGACCCAGGCCTGCAGACGATGGCCCGCCCGGGGATCCGAGCTTTAGTCGAACGGGGTCAGCCACTTCAAGCACGTTGGCTTGCTCGCGAGCCGCCCCTCGGTTACCGGATTAGGAGCCCGTCATCTTCCCAACTCGGGTTGCTGACCTTCCTACGTAGCCAAGGGGCGTTTATGATTCACGACGCGCATAAGCGAGTGAGAGTTTTCGGGTGTATGATTCCTGTATCGTGGGTCTCGAAATGTCCAACATGTCATTGAGGTCAGTACGGGCCCAGACTGCCTATACACCAGATTTTGATTTCGTTGGTATCTAACATCTACTTGTGGTATACAATTCAAGGAGATGCAAGTTGTTTCATGCCGCTACGCTCATGCTAAACGCCTACTCATCAAAAATAACGGCAGTCACTTCACCATCAACCTTGGCGCTCGTGAGAATCTCTCCCAGCTTGCCCGACGCGGCATCACGGCTAATCACAACAACACGGCTGTCGGACTGCAGACCAACGGCTACGAGGTCGCCCGCCTTGCTGACGGAGAACTGGCGCGGGATGCGTCCACCGGCGGGAAACTTTTGCAGCAGCGTAAGACCACCCGTCTTGGCGTCAATGGTGAAGGTGTTGAGGGAGTCGGAGGGGATCTGCGCGCCCTCGCCGGGAGTGTCGGGGTTGCTGATGCTGAAAGCCGAATCGTTGCGTGACGAGACGGTCAAGAACTTGCCGTCGGACTGTTTTGTTAGTATGCATTGAGACTTCATACAGAAGAACGTTGACTCACAGAAATCCAAATCTCGGCGGCGCTGGCACCGGCAGGCGCAGAGGCACCAGCGCCGTAGGTGGAGCCGGAAAACACCTCGGTGAAGCCGAGCGTCTTGTTCTCGCGGTAGGCGACGTCGTATGCGGTGACGGTGTTGGCAAGCTCGCTAATGAGGTACAGGTACGTCTTGCCCTCGGGGGTGACGAGGAACTCGACGTGGCGGGGTCCGCTGCCGGGGGCGGCGACGAGGGAGTCGACGGCGACGAGGTTGTTGGCGCCGTCAACGGCAAAAACGCGGACGAGGTCGGCGCCCAGGTCGGGGACCAGGACGAACTGGCCCTTGGGGTCCAGGAAGACCTCGTGCGGGTGCGGGGCGTCCTGGCGCGACGGGTTGGGGCCGGGAGCCGACATGTTGAACGTCTCGGACTTGACGGGCGTGAGGGCCGCCGGGTTGGAAATGTCGAACCAGCTCACAGAGGAGCCGCCGCTGGCAAAAGTTAGCTCGTGCTCGTCGTCAACAAACATCAAGACATACTACTGAGCGATGGCGAGGCCTTGGCCCTTTTCGCCAAAGACAACGGCGCTCACGGGACCGCTGATGGTCTCCGTCTTGGCCAGCTGCTCCAGCACACCGTCGGCGCCGGTCTTGAAGGACGAGACAGTGCCGACATTGGTTGTAAGACCCTCATCCGTGCAAAACAGTCTCGCGTTGGCCTTGTCGAGCTGGAGCCACGATGGGCTGGGCGCGCAGCCGTTGGAAGAGGAGAGCGACTGCAGGGTGGACTGCGTGGCGTTTGCGCCCGACAGAGTGAGGTTCAGGGTGGTGATGGCGCCGCTGTACGATGAGGCGTAGAGGAGGGTGGCGGCCGCCGGAGAGGAGAGCAGCAGCGGCACGAGGCCGGCCGGCGCAAAGAGGTCTCGCAACATGCTGGGCAAATACTGGACGACGAACGAATGTCTGTGTTGGCAAAACAGCTGCACGGTGAGAACGAGGCACGGAACGAGTGTGACGACGGTGACGAGTGCGAGCACGGGACGGAGAAGAAAAGGACGACGACGACGAGGTCTTGAACTCGAGGAGCGAAGACGGCCCATTTTCGCGTAAGACCCCTCAAGGCCCCAGGGGCAAGGACGGAGTCTCCTCTGAATGTGTCAACGATTGTCGCCCGTAGACCTTGGTTCCCTGGTCATGCGCTCACTGCCTTGGTAAAGCCGGGACCTGGACTTCGAAACGGGACCCGGTTGCCTGTTTGGGACGGCGAACGGGATTCTTGTGCTTCTGTGGCTAACCTTAATGCCTACAGAATACAGACTTCACAGCGTACGGACACTACGGCGGAGTAGTCGGAGTGCGGTGCGGACACTTTCCAGAAGACAGGCTCAACCCTGAAGCGACGTTAGCAAGGTGATGGGCTTCCCCTGTAATGAAAACGTCCGGCCAGGGGTAGTTCACGGTATTTTCGTCTGGTTCGATGATAGAGTTTGTCTGGGAGATTCAGGTTGAGTACCTCGAGACAACCGCCCCTTTCTGTTCCTGTACAGCGTACCGGCAGTATGCCACAGAAGGACCAGACAGCTTCCCGCAGCACACAACTCGACGAACCGCACCTCGTCTTTGGATGGCAAATGTTCGTGTCACACAAACTCTGAGAAAAAGGGTGTCGAGTTCGAGGTGGAGAAGGTTACTTTGACTTCCACTCGTGTGCCGATGCGGAGAATGTGGAGAAAAGAGGAGGAGGAGCCCAAAAGGACTGGAGGAGGCGGAGAGGTGAGGGGGAACCACGGAGATGCAGTCGGCCAATCGGCGCCGCTTGTTGATTTCGTGCGGGTTTTCTCTCTCGTTCGTGGGGTTCTGAGAAATTTCCCAATTTGCGGTAATTTATGATGCCGTCCCCAGCACGGGAGACGGTGAACACTGACCAACACAGGCACGGGACGATGCCGGCGCCCAGTGAGGTCTTGGTCGAGTGTGGCATCACTCGAATCACGGATACATCACCAAAAAGTCAAACCCCTCGTCTGCCGTCCGACCGAGCCGCCCGGCAGTCAAACGGCCGTGCGCCTCTGCATCGAACCTCGAGAGTGACGCTTCGCCAATCACCTTCTTGTCGGATTTCAACTGGCCAGAATGGCAAGCTCGCATCATGATGTGCCATGTGGCCTCCCCCGCACTCCGATGCAAGCCACGGCCAACCTTGTCTTCTTCTAGCGTTGCCTCCGGCTTGCCGTTTGTGAACTGCGGGATCGTCGTCACACAGAAGCTTACTCTTATTCTGCATGTCTAGGTCTGCCATGTGCCGGGCCATGTGCACCACACGGTGCCTGGATTTACAGGGACGAACACTCGCATGCCGCACGAGGTATATCGACAGCCATCAGAATGCGTTAAAACGAGCCTGACGACGTGCGAGCTCTCCATCCTGGGTCATGATCACTTCAAATCTTGACTCTTTGGCACACATGGGCGCTGTACCAAGACGGCGTGGACATTACGGACTGAGCAAACAATGCTCCAGGTCTCCCCTCGGAGTGATATCAAGTACCGCAAGAGCCCAGACTATAGCTTACTATAGCTTCATGCGGGGGGCGTAGCATTGTCTCCATACTCAACCATCCCAACGCCGGTACCGCCTCTTCTTTGCCTAAAGTCCAAGCCAATCGAATCTGCGAGAGAGGGTCATCTTGCGGGTGGTTATGCACGACTCACCTCGGGACCGTGTGCACCAGGAATGCCAGGCCGTCCTTCCGTGCCGTGTCTCTCGCGGGGGCTCTCCTACTTGCTGTGCCGTGAGACTGTCAATCTTTGCGTACCAAAAAAGTGTTGCGAAAACAAATCGCTGCAGCGCGGTCACTGTTATTTTTCTCTTTCTCAGGCTAAGGTAACTCACGGACGCCCATCCACACGCTCTTGTTTCCCATCCTCGATTCCTGTTCGTTGCGCCGGGCATCGGTCGCCTCTCGGGCCAAGGTAAACCGACGTGCATAATACCAAGTCATCAATCTGAATGTGTGCGCCAACTTTTCCCTCCTAATGTTCCAGTACGATTGCAGATCACGAGCGTAAGGCCTAACGCATGATGCTTAGGCCTTCTCAAAGGTTGTAGGAGTGCTGTTCCCCTTGGAGTGAGACAGACTGTAGGGTGCCTATTGAACGTCAGTTTGTGTCATATGGACAAGCACGAGTAACTCACCAGAACCTGCTTGGCATTGCAGATTCGCCAGGCCATCTTTCTGACGTTGCCGTCGGCGGGCACGATGGCGGGGGCGAATTCGATACCAAACATTTGGTGGATGGCGTAGACGATTCTCTTGGCATACTTGCCATCGCGCTCGACGTGGCCGCCAAAGGGCTCGTCAACGGTGGTGGGCGCAATGTCGTGGTCACGGTCACAGCAGTTTTGCACAAGAGGCAGCAAGGCTTGCTCGACGGCCTTTTCGTACATGCCGTTGGCGTCAACCTCGACATCGTCCTCATCGAATTTGCCGATGCGGATCTCAAAGGGCTGCGAGATGGTCATGACGTGGTGGTTGCCGGCATGGTGGTACCGGAACTCAAAGACGCCCTGAGTCCACCACAGCCGATCGCCCTCAAAGATGACCTCGCCCTCGACAATGTCGGGATCCGACGCGTCCTGCTTTTGAGCCGGTCGATCGGGGATCAAGATGGCCTTGTCGGCGGTGGCCGCATCATAGCTGCCGGGAGTCGTAGGCACCCACCGGCCTAGGGACGGCACCTCTGTCGCTTCTCTGGAGCGGTTATCGGTAACCATGTAGAGACCAATCCAGTCCTTGCTGTCGTGCTTTGCGGGAGCGCGCCACTTAACTTTCAAAGGGGCGCCATATTCAAAGATCATGGTCTCGACACCGCGTTGGAATCGGGCCGTCAGACCCTCCTTGCCCGTGGCACGCTCATTGGCGGCTGATAGGCTTGAGGGGGTGCCTTCTACGGAGAGGGAGTAGAGCTTAGGGTCTAGCCCAGCGAGATCCGGAGACAGGCGTGTGACGGTCAGACGAGCCGGGTACTTGTTGAACAGGGCCGAGGTGTCGCGGACGATCGTCTTGATGCCGGAAGCGAACTTGGGGCGCGCGGTATCGAGGAACTCCTCAATGAACTGTGCCGTGTCGTCAATCACCTTGTCGACACCGCGTTGCCAGCCCTGGACGGGCGGTGGCAGCGAACGTTTGATAAACTTGGTCAGGCCGGCCTCTTGACGAATGCCGCGACCATACGTCTTTTGCATGTGCGGCTTCTCAATAAAGTTGATGAAGCCCAACGTAAACAGCTGGCTGACGAGAGCCATGACGAAGATGGCTCTGCTCCACGTAATGAGGGCAGAGCCCCAGAGGCCAGCAGTGCCAAAGATGCGCTCGGGGTTGTTGAGGAAGCGGTAGATGGACTTGTATGTCAGCCTGGCGGTGGAGTCGTAAAAGAAGTCACCGTAGAACCAGCCAAACTCGCCGAGGGAGTCGTACACGCTGATGAATGTCCAGACCTGGAGGGAGACGAGGCCGGCTCCGACCACGTGCTTGAGGAGGACCCAGCCGTACGCCCAGTCCTCTGGCGGCGAGTACATCTTCCAGCACGCGGCGATGAAGGATCCCGTGCACATGACAGAGCTCAAATGGTACATGCCCTTCCACTGATTCCATGCCTCAGTGTGGCTCTCGCCGTACTTGAGGAAATGTCTCGTCCAGAACTTATTGCGGGACTGCCACGCGAGGATGGCACCCAGGCCGAGGTGATACCACACGCGCCAGAACAGAGCGTGCAGTAAGAACAGGACTTGGTACACCGACGTCGATGGGGTCACAATGGTCAGGACGGCCATGTAGAAGCCGAGCAACAGAACCGAGGTATCTGTGATGCGGAATAGGTCGAGGTTGTTCAAGCCGATCAGGTTGTGCACCTGCGCGGGCGCTTCGGGCGACGACTCCTGGGCCGTGGCAGCCTGGTCACCCACAACTTCATCGTTGATGGCGACGAGCTCCGGCTGGCCGGTAAGCGGCGTCGAGGCAGTGCGCTTACGCGGGGCAGGCGGGTTGTACGTCTTCTCAATGTGCGGGTTCTCAACAACGACGAGGAAGGCGAACTGGGCGAGATGGGCAATGATTGAGATGAAGAGGACCTCATAGCTCGCAGCCATCATGGAAATGCCGTAGTAGCCAGCGTAGCCGATGGAGTACATGGGGTGCGGGGCCATCTCAAAGACGCCGTCAAAGGTCAGCTCCTGGTCGACGAGGTAGAAAAAGTCACCCCAGTACCAAGCGTAGTCCTTGACGACGCGGTGGGCGTCCAGCTTGACCCAGAGATTGAAGAGGACCAAGAGGATGCCGATGGACCATCGTCCAAAACCGACAAAGGGGTTCTCGCCGGCGGGTGTGCGACCGCAGATCACGGCAAAGAGGCAGTAGGAGACAAAGTCACACATCAAGATCAGATCGACGACACGGCGGAAGACTAGCCAGGTGTTGTACTCCATGGGGGCTTTCTCAAACTCGTAGTCCTCGGGGATCTTGGCCTCGAGCTCACGCTTCAATATGTTGTAGAGCCAAGGGCGGGGTTGTTTTCCCGACGAGGGGTGCTCAAAGAGCTTCCATCTCGCGGCCCACGTCTCCAGCCTGCGGTGGTTGGACTGGATGGTGAGGAGGTATCCAATGCCAATGTTGTACGAGGCTCGCCAGAAGAGGAAGACGAGCGCGAACAAGGGACGCTTCAGGTTGCCGGGCACAAAATAGGCCGCAACAATCTGGAGGGCGAGAATGGCCAAGACGAGCAAATCGGAGAGGTTCTTGGGCTGTCTCGGATCGAGCAGCTGCGACACCATGTCGTGCGTGGTGGGGACGGTGAAGACTAGGCGATTGTCAGTCGACAGCAAGTAAAGCACATCACCGCGAAACCCACCTGTGCCATCGGGAGTTCGACCAAACGTCTTGTTGGGCTTTTGCAGTGAGTCTTCAGACTGGTCGTCCGCGGCGGCTGAGGGGTTTAGACCATCCTCGCCGTTGCCAGCCGCGGACGTCAGCCTCTGGCGCTGACGCAGAGAGCCGACATCACTTGCGAGGGGCGCGGCGGAAGAGCTCATGCTAGGCCAAGGGCAGGAGCAGCGTAGCAATCGACGATGCCGATGGAGGGGTTTAGGTTATTTTCACACGCAGGGGGGTCGGTAAGGGCGTTGTGCGATGATGATTCTGTTGCTCAGGCTGTCCATGAGCCGCCAGTGTCAAGGTTGACTTTTTGTGTGCGCGAGAAACGAGCAGGAGCAATGCAAGAAGAGCAAGAGTTCAGGCGAGGAGAGAGGAGGAGAGAAGACAGGCGAAGAGGCAAGACGTTGGGAAGAAGGACGACGTGGAAAGAACGTCACAGGCAAGGGTTGAGGGTGCAGCTGGAGGTTTCCAATGGGAGGCAGCGTTGTGAGGAAGCACTGGGAAGGTACGGTACGGAGGCACCTGCCGCACTTACACTGTACGACCAGCCCCACTAGTCCGGCGGGTTAGGTTTGGTTCCTGCTGATTTGGATTGGTTTGGATTGAGAAAGCCCGCCCGTCCCGCAACTGTTGAATTCGTCTTTACTCGCTACATTGTGCAAGTACCGTGGGGAATGAGAAAAGTACACTTGAACTTGGCATGTGATCCGTGGGCAGCCGCAACACTGGAGTGGACATTGAAGTCGAGCATTTGAGCCGCCTGCGC